ACTCGGCTTCCGCTAGGGGAAAAAGTGGCGTAAGAGAAAGGACTTCTACCACTTGGTAAACTTATTTCAAGTACCGAACTAAATGCTAAATTGAATGTTAATTTGACATAAATTACAATAATTCCCAAGTGATAGAAGGCCCTTCTCCATCACTGCTTTTTCCCCTAGCAGAAGCCGAGTTTGCTCGTGAAGGTACAATGGAATTAATTGGTAAAGTGGGAAGAAATTATAAAAAAAAAAAAGAAAAGTAGTTAACAATAATATGATATAAATTGAAGAATATACAATACAGATTGTAACTCTGCCCCCGAAAATGCTACCAACTTTCCAAAAGACCTCAATACAGGTGCTCGAAAATATTAATTTTCGCTGCTATGCGGACGATAGACGCCTGGAGCGGCACGAATCATCGAAAACGGTGTTGTCTATGCCAGTAATGTGCTCGTTAAACGAGCATTCAGTCCGTAGAACGACGGGCGACCGGTCGGATGCATCGAACCCACGCGGTTGCTCTTCATACTTGACCATCGCAGGCGAGAAATACGCGAGGCAGTGTTAAGTGCATCGCAAGCACTTATGCAAAACGAAAGTCGATGGCGTTTCGTTGTAAAGATGGTTTCAGCCGTGACGAATTTCACGTACACGGCGCCGCGCGTGTATTCGCGTACGTGGTACGAATCCACACACGTCATTGGTTTACTTCGTGAATAAATGGCTGACTCGTTGAATTTCCAAGAGAAGGGTCAGGGAAGAAACAAAGAATGTCGCGACGCAGCTTTAATTGAGAAAATTAATTTTTAATATTTTATAAAAATATCTTTAACCCCTTGCCTTATAACATCGAGTCAGACACGTGATGACGATTTCAAAGTGGATTTAATAAATATGTATACTATTCATTTTCTTCGAGTCGAAGTGAAATTCTGTTTCGTTGGTATTAATATTTAAGATTTAGAGTAAATGTTACACTTGGCCTATAGATAAAATTCCTTTTGTATCTGGGAAAGTATTAACGATAAAGTAATGCTTGAAGGTAAGGTGGAAATCTTATTAATTATTACACAAATCATACTATATATAAATCTTATTAGTAAATAAATATATATCGTATATTTCTGTATATCGATCTCGAACATTCGGCGAGTCCAAGTGTCATCTCGAATGTTCGAGATTCACCCAGAATGTGTTAAACACAAGAATAGCGCGGCCTTGTTAATCAGTCTATCATCTGTAACGAAATAAAACGCATCGTTCTGTTTGACTTCTTAATTCTGTCTTGTGCTGATCTCTGTTCATCCTACATTACTTAATAATTATTACACAAATCTTATTACTTATCACATAATTAATTGTTTTGCATTCTTATGCAAGAAAACATTGAATAAACGAGCATTTAGTAACTATTGCTTAAAAATAAAATATTGTAAAAATATTCGTCGGGTTCATCAGACCCCACCTTTCCAGTCAAGGGTTTACGATATCTTGTGTGGACATTTCGACCTTGTCACTTTTCGTAATTCGACAGTTTTGTAGTCACGAATGCTACCAAATGAGTGATATACCGTATACTTAGTAAAAATTGATTCAAATGCGTATTTGCACTTCTTCGTATTAGAATTGCATGAAATAGTAAATAAAACGGAAAGACAACGAAAATTGAACGGTTTGTGAATAGTTAATATTCGCCAATGCATGAATAGCGTAAGCCTCAAAGAGCTACAACTTTCCGATGATTCCACTCCGCAGAACTCGTACTTAACATTCCCTGTTTTGTTCCCCTCTGTTTATCTTTCTTTTACGTGTCGGTAATGAACTCGTTTCTTTTTCCGCATAATTTCGTTGTTTTTCTACGAAAATTGTATATGAAGATTGATTAGTTTAATATTGAAACGACGCATATCGCGTATGAGTAATGGTTTAAAGGTGCGTGATGCATTGTTTTATTTATGCTCTTTTGAGTTAAAAAATTGACAGGTGCGCCTGAGTCACTTTGTATATAAGTGAAAATCCTAACATTTTGTTTTTTAACTCCATTAGGTGTACCAACAAGTCATTCATTACAGTTCCAATGTGGCGGAAATACATTTTAAATTCAGAATATGTATCTTCCCAATCTTTTGTTTAGTTGAAATAGAGGTAGATGTTTAGAACAAATAATGGATATTGTTAATATGGAATAAATATTTGAATTTAGCAAACTACTTATTGGTACACCTAATGTATCCTTGTATTAAATATTTAAAAAAAATCTAATGTAATATAAAAACTTTAGTGGTGTGGCTCCTGTGTTGCACCTAGAGCTAAAAGGGATCAAGGTATCGAGTACAATGGCACGCATTACTAAAGAGTCTTTCCCACTGTGCAATCCGCCAAAAATGCATCGTGTGCTTGCGCAACACGAAATTTTATAACATAACTTCCCATGACCGGAATACGAATGTGGTCAGGTTCATCGTGGACGCATTGCAATCTGAAACAGCTAATTTCGTTGTGAAAATCTACGACTAATTTTAGCTGTTTTTTCTTCTTCTGTCTCTCTGGCATAATTTCGAAAGTGGTTTGAAATTCTCGATCACCCTGTATAAGACTTTTCCTTTAAATGTTTAGTTGATCGTATTAATATTAATTGTCCAGTTTGTGGATCAGAATGCTGGGAAATTAAAGTTCGTTTAATTACTATTTTAGTAATTAAGCCAGTACCGTTAAGCAGAATTAATACTGGACTAGATTCACGGCCAAAGTAAATCATCGCGATCATTCCAGAATTTTTAAACTACAATACGGAAAAAGTCACGCTAGTAGACAGTATCTGATAAAATAAGCTTCAAACCTTCGAGAACTAACTTCTACCTTGTCGAATAATACACTCTTTAATAAGTTTGCCAGAACAATCGAGTGAAAGCTTATAGATCGCTGACCAATCACTGTTAACGAATTTACAATATAATTCGATTACTAATAATATTCCATTGATTTTTATTTGAAATTACACCTGCAATTTCGTCAGAATAATTTCAACACCGACCAAATCATATTTCTCGAGACCAGAATAATAACAGGAGAAAATTTATTATCCTGTTGAAGCTAAATAGATATTTCTATACATTTAGATGTCCCTAATTATTTTATAAATAGAAATTTCCTTTTTCTCTAGAGGGTTGTCAGGATAGAAGGACTACTCTGTATTCCTTCATACAGAATATTCACCATCAAATTACAACTACCTATTCAAAAGTACAAACAATTTCACCAATTCAACCCCCTCAGTCATACAAGACTTTTTTTCTTTCATTGTATTGTCTATCGATTAGACATTTTAACACGTGGACTGCCATGGATTTCACTTCATTTCAGCACGTATCTACTAGTAACCCCATGGGTGGGGGGTCATCGATGACCCACAACGCTGAAATTAATTAGAACACTTACCACCAGAAAAATGGTAACAATTGTAAACTCTTGCCACCAGAAAACTGGTAACAATTGCAAACTTAATATTGATTTCGTAATATAAAACAGCTGCATTCAGTCACCCTATACAATACTTCATTATCATTATACGCTACCGTTCGTCAGTACCAGGACACCTGGTCTCCAACGAAGAAAATATGTTCCATAAAAATTACATATTCCGGCCGACTTTTATTGCTCCGTATTACCATACGTCCATCGAGCTTCAATATTCCCCCCAGACAACATTTACTTCGGACCTTCGACAATTTCGTAACGCCTTATTTCCATTTACTTCGCATCCGACAGATCGTCCTAATACCCACGAACAAAAGTATCTTGTTGTCCAACCTCGTGGATAGGACACACGAAATCCTTCCCACAAGTGACCACCTATCCCTTAATGAACAAACCATTTATAACTAGATTATTTCTAAATATAAGAACGAGAAATTTTCACCCGTTCTAATCAGATTATCATTTTTCCTAAGCAACCTATGCAGCTGAGAGGAAAATAAACATTTCAAATAGTAGTAAAAAATGGCAGATAAACGATGTGACATATTATTTAGTATACTTTAGTAGCTCTTGAATATCGTCCCGAACTCGGGTCCGCGCCGGGACAACAATCGTATAGGGAAAAATGCTTCAGACCCTCGTAAAATCGTTTTTGCCCGAAGCCTGAGCCTCGGTAACAAAAGCTTTTATGTGAATTTTTCTTCTGGGAAACCTTTTTTCTGGGTTGAAACTTATATTTATGGACAGTACTTGTATTGAGTATAACGATACCAATTTTGTGTTTACAAATCGTTTCGTGGATATTTTTGCATGTCATTTGATACGTACTTTCGATCAATATAAATATACAGTGAAAAGAATAAGTTTCCCAGAGGAAAAGTTTACCCCGAAATATTTGCATATTTTTTTCAAGCCTAGTACAGTAATAAATTAAGCCTCAACAAAAACAATTCAGTTCACCTACGATCACTGAAAGAATATATTTGCCTTTGGAGAGTTAAGCGTAGCGACCTCCGAGCAATCACCACGTGGAAACAATCACATTCGATCAATCAACGTTCAATCCACCCAACAACCTGCATCAGGTGCCCAAAGTCAGACCTTGTCCAACACCGTGGCAAGTCTCGTGTATACCGCGTGTCTAGCCGCGTAAATGGCCAACAACACACACACACACACACACACATAGCCGACTGTTATGACTTACGGGGTATCCGAGGTGTCGCACATGGCCCCTCGCGAGCGCGTCATCGTCCGTTTCACGCGGGACAAAAAGGTCCCTGAAAGTCTCAAAGTTCAACGAATGGTCATGCAGGAGAGGAGAGAGAGACCGAGAGAGAAACATACTACACACACGCGGTCAGCATTGGCAGGCCAAGCCGAGCTGTCGCCTGTCCCGTCGTCGGTTAGTAGATACGTCAATAGAAACGGCGTGGAGGGGATGGGGGCCCTCTGTCCCCTGTCCAAAGGGTGGGGAGAAGCTGTCTCCCGGCCTCTCACGCCGCCGCGGGCAGGTATAAGGAACTCTGGTTGGTCCCCGGCACGCTCAGTCCACCTTTCGTGTCGTTGGCTCGTCTGAAAAGTGGCTGGCCCACATATCATTCCCTTTCAGTATAATTCCTTCTCGGACACCGCGCGTTTCCCGTTCGTCGTGTACACACACGGTATATACCAGTCGTAGCGGTTCCACAAACCACGTTCAATCACCAACGCGCAACCAATAGTCGACCAACGGAGCTTCGCCAAGACACAACACACTTCGAGAGTACGGATAACAGTTTATCCTACACACGATTGTTCCTGGTGAGTTGACGAAAATATATACGGACAGACATACACACATACGATAGTTTTCCGGTGGATAAGGAAAGGAAGAAGCTTTAACGAGCGCTTAACGAGTATAAACACCCGACAGTGTTTCTACAGCGAGGAACTGTACGGGTTTATCTTGATCTCTACCGGTTAGGCTTACGATCGACGAGATTAATCTGGGAGATTATGGGTGCAGAAGGTTGATCTTCTGTGGTGCGTGGGGATTTCACTGGGACAGTGATTTTCGGAGATTTTAATCATTTTTCGGTGAGCTCGTGGGCTGGTTTTTGGGTGATTTGAAGAGTTTTGGAGATTGAGCGAAACTGGTTGAATATTTTGTATATGATTTTGAAATTTACGGTATTGTTCGGTTTTATGGATTGTGTAGTTGAAGATAATGATCGACCGGTGATCTAGACGCTTCAGTTTCCTTTTTTTTTTTTTTTTTGTTAGAGTTTGTTGGAATCTGTGCTACTTTCCAAATTCTCGAAAGTGTCTCTGTTTTCTAGCAGTGTCCCGACGATTCTTGATCAGGGATCGGATGGACCTGATAAAAATTTTTAGTTGGTCAACAGCGAAATAACAGTAGTTTCTTTTACTGTTCTCATTAACGTTTGAGAAAGTTTATTCGGTTTAGCCTACATCGGTCTTTGGAGATATTTGCAAAATCGAGAAATTCTGTATTTATATAGTTTTGTTTATAATAAAATTGTTATGTTAGGTATTATCAAGTTAGGTCGTATGTAAAGTAATGCAGTTTGATTGTTTATTTTTGTATCGTACTGCAAGGTAATTAATTGTGACGGTCCAGTGATTTAAAAGCATCGTTTTAATTGATTTTGTGAATTTATTGAACTGCACGTTGCCTCGAAAGTATCTTAATGTTTCTAAAGTTCCTTCATAGTGCCTCATTAAGAATACAACCGAGCTATTGAAATGTTCAGTTACTCGTGAAATAACAGTGATTTCTTTTTATTGTTATTCTTGCTGCCCCAAGAAAACAATCACGAAATGAAGTTTAGTCACTGAAACGTCACAGTTTCGTTCAATCTCCCGGTTTCTTCTCAAAATTTTAATCAAATGCAGACCAATTGAAATTAGAAATATTTTTTAAATCTTTCAAAAATAACAATAAACTCATTTCGTTTAGAAAAGAATATTTATTAATTACCTTCAAATGAAATTTAGAACTAAAATGATATTTCGTCAAATATATCGTAAATCCATTTCTGTGTGTATTTTGAATTTAAGCTTCGACGAATTGAATTATATAGTGTTCTCCGGAAAATGATTTTTAATTTGCTTTTTAATTGTTACAAGACTCGATAAGCGTCAGCTTTTTCCTTTTACCTGCTTTAAATACTTAACAGTGATTCTGACGTGTGTTTGTTTTTTTTTTCTTTGCTCGTGTTTCTGACGGCCAGGCTGAATTCGGACCTAATCGTCGATTACCACGGAATGGGTAAGCCAAAGAATTAATTAAATTTTATTTTATTCATCCGCGGGCTACCGTTTGAATCTCGATCTTGCTCGAAATTCGCTTAATTACATGTTAAACGCGACTACTTAACGATCGATTTTCATCGACGAATTGATTTCGATCATAAAATCCGCATAAATATCAAAGTTAGATTAATTTTTATGCATCAGCCTTCTAAATATATGGCGTGAATAATTACAACATTTAAATACATTGTCAGTGTTTAAACAGAAAAAATAGAATACTCGATTCTTCCAATAATCATACAATATAAATTGATTCATTAAATAGATCGACAAAAATATACTTATTTCTTAATTTCCTACAATTGTAGGTTCAGTTATCAGATTTTCAATGAAAACAAATAACTATTTCACATACATAAATCTCTATAAATTATTAGACTGACATCAATTGTCACTAATTACACACGATAAATAAGTTATAGAAAGAGTTACGAAAAAAAACACAATGAAATCTCCTCGGAAGTTTCATTCAGTGTCAAGAAATCTCTTTGAGCGTCTCGAATCTTCGAGTAAATACTCGTCTCCTTTCTACAATACTCTGTGCCTCGCCACGTGATTCTCGAACACAATCTTCCTAACTTCCTTAAACTCCCAGACTTCCAATTAATTATTTAATAAAATGTTCATATTTTAAATATTTAGGTTACTAGTATTTAACTTACTTGAACTAATAGAGTTCCCAGTAATTATTTAGTAAAACTTTTATGTTATAAAAATTAATATTTTTCATATCTAGAATATTAACATTTTAATACTGCTTAACTTGCTGAAACTCGTAGACTTCCAATTATTTAATAGAACGTTCATATTTTAAACAATTAGCATGTTAATATTTTAATAGTATTTAACTTCCCGAAACTATTAGACATCCAAGTGTTTATTTCCTAGAATTTTCATATTTTAATATTCAGAATATCAACACTTTAATACTGCTTAATTTCCTGAAACTAGTAGACATCCAATCAAGTCGGAATTTTGATACTTCAGTAGAATTGCTAGTAAGTCTACTCGTGTGACACCATTCTCGAAGAATTATATCAAATACGCCACTACTAGAAAATTCTGGTCGTTAAACGCTCTCGAAATGATCCTTCGTTCCACTCAATCTGAATCTCGAGTTACACCGAGACGGTTCTTCGAGCATATAATACCCGCTGTAGCTCAGCGCTGCGTATTCTCGAAACACGAGGGACTAGAAGGCGGAAATTTGTTGAAACGTGACGGGATAAGGTGGATCGTGAGTGTAGCGGAATCGTCTCCGTGGCTGAAGCCCACTTTAGAGTCACAGCAAGACAGCGCGCACGAGAAAAAGTCTGGCATGAATTTAACCGGGCACGATTCTCTCGGTTTGAATCGTTTAATCACGCGGTTAAAGAGGAAATTTCATCGTGTCTCGCGGTGATTCCGGGCTTGATGATGTTGCCCGCCCGGCTGGCCTCTCTAAAGGGTCATCGGCCACGACATTGATACAGCTCGATTACGCCGGGCTCGTTGCGGAAGTGTCGGCATGTAAGTCGGAGTCGAATTAATTACTCGAATCTAATCGATACACTGCATAGCCATTCAATCGACCGTTCCTTATACTTCACGGTGTGTATGTGTGTGTTAAAGACGGTGTGAGTAGTAGACTGTGAATGTCCATTAATTTACTCTGGTAGCTTTGCTTGGTGAAAAATAGGGGTTCTAATACTGTAGAAAATTTGATTTCAATAGCTCCAAATTTAATAACGTTATTCAAATTTAATATAGTCAAGTTCAGTAAATGTAATTATCAATGTCTTCAAAATTAATAAGTACAGTAAATCATCGATGAGTGTTCAAAGGCTCCCTGGCACTGAATACTGAATATTTTATAAACTAATGGCCATACACGGTTAAAAGAAATATCATTGCCTTCAGAATTCCAAGCTCTATTGTTGTGATGAATCTCATTAAAAAATCACTGTTACATCTGGGGACCTCTTCTTGTCAGTGCCAAGGACCGCCTTCGAATACTCATCGAGGATTTACTGTACATCGGTCTCTTATCCCAGACGGTTATGCCTTCTGTCTTATTCGTCTGTAACGTCGCTATTAGGCCGGATCTTTTAATATTGATAGTTGACCCTAATATTCGTGTGTTCGAAAAGATGGAAAGAAGGTCCAGTGCCAATTGGCAGTCACACAGTAACGTGTTTGGACGTTTCTAATTGGGGCCCATGTTTATACTGTATGAGTTCTTCACTTGCCAAAGTGACTGAACGCCATAATAATACAAAAAGGTTCCTCACTAGTCAACTATCCTGGCAACAAAATTTTTAAAAAATTCAAGTAGACACGTACCATTATTCCCCAGAGCCCACTTTCAAGTGGACACGTAGCATTACCCTCACGAGTTTCCCTCTTACAAGCACGTAGCAGTGATCTCGACTAAAGAAATAATCTCACGTGGATACGTAGCATTACTTCCCCAGAACACATTCTCAAGTAGACACGTAGCATTAGCTTCGAGAGTTTCCCTCGTAGAGCAGTGATCTCTAGTAAGGAAATCTCACGTGGATACGTAGCGTTCCTCTGATAGCCTAGTTTCAAAATGGAAACATAACATTACTCTCCAATAATTGCACATCACCTCACCTCCATTCTACAAAGTAAAACTGACGAAAGTCTGACTCCTCTAATAAAAATGCGCGTAGCGCCTTATCCCTGGGACGTTAACTCTCACGTAGACAGATAACATTATCCACAACTCTCGAATAAACATCAAACGACTAGTGAACGTGAAATTCTCGGACAGGTGAAGGCCATTCCATCGTTCGAAGGTCATCGATTGCGACTCTTTGAAATCAAGGCCCGAATTTTTTTCTTTTTTTTTTTTTTTTGGTAGAATGATCCGAAAGTCTAGCTTTGGGACGAGACAAAAAGGTCACTTGTACGCTGGACTAACCGGACACACATTGCCAATCTACCTGAATTCTCGTAACATCTGAACTGGCTGTTCTTGAACCTGTGCGTCTGGATCTCCAAATGTGACATTCACTCGTTACGGAATACAATCGCTTAATTTAATCTAGGGAATTGCGTCATTTTCGGTGGAATGACCTTGCTTGACCTTCGCCAACAGAAATCTTCCGCTTGATTTTTTCTCGAAGCTACATAACGACGTTTTCGAAATCAGAGAAACAACGATGACATTCGTATGTCGGGAACGGGCTCAAAATGGAAGGACACGATCAACTGCTTTGTATGTCGATCTTAAACGGTCTCCGAAGTTCAGTAACTCTTACGCGTACGAGAATCGCGAGAAATTGACAAACGGGGTGCAAATAACTCGTCCATAAAACCAAAAGTATCTATATTCACCTACGTGTTCGACACCGAGTCGAAGGAATTTATGATCTTCCTCCATTCGATTTAGAACTCCGGGGTCAACTTTTGATGTCAACATTTTTTCCTGCCTTCGTTCGTAATTCTACCGAAATGACGTAATAAATTTATATTTCCACGCGGGTAAGAAAATGGTAAACATTTTTCAAATGTACATTCAAACGAACCCGTAAAATCGTGATAGGAAGTGAAGAAAAAAGCAGACAGAGCGTAAGATTTTTATTCGTTCCGATGACGGGATTAGCCGCGCGCAAGTTCTAGGTCTATTAACGACTAGTGCAAATTGACAGTGGGACGACAGGAAGTTTCCCGGTACCGAGTGTATTAACTCGAATCCACTACCTCTGTTTCAATGGAGTCTCTGTTTGTCGCGACCGTTGGATCTTCCCCGGTCCGGGTATAATGATCTTTGGACAAACCTGTTGGGGGAGAGGGAAAGTGTTAATGAAACCGAAGTGATCTCTGACAATCCAGCGTGTACAAAGAGGAAAAAGTGAAGAACGAAACGTAGGTATTAACGGGAGGAAAAAGGATTTCCTACTAATTTACAGGTGTTGTTTTAACGTCCTGTGTGTTTTCAAGGCGGCGCGCGCGCGGGAGAAGCCCCTTGTTTGCGAAACGTTATGATCTTCTTGGAAGATCTCTTACGTAGGAAACGATGAGTTTCCACGGTATTTTTCATCGATGCATTGATCGTCTATTCTACGACTGGAATGTTCTCCGGAAATCGCGGCTGGGATTGAGATTTTTTGACAATGTTTAGTCGGGAAGCAGTCTAATGATGCTTTTCTTAGAGTTTGCTCGGTCTTTCGCACGTTTTTTTAATTCGCCCAGCAGCGATTCTATTCGAAAATTTTCCAGGAAATTCCTGAAATCGAAGATACAATTTTGGAAACAGGAAGCTAATGATTTTGTAACTTTCAATTGTGATTCCCTTTCGTTGTTGCTGTAACAAGTGGATAGACTCTGGGAATGTCTTTTTTTTCGAACGATCTACAGAAGTTAGTACCATCGGTCGTAAATTCACTCGGCCATAAATAGCACATAAACGTTACCAGAATGCGCAGACTGTTGACTAAAAAAGTTTTTATTTCTTCCTCGTGCCGCAAAAAGATTATAAATTTCAATTTACACATTAAAAGCATTAGTGTGCTTATGATCTACACGAGTGCTTTTAGGTATCGCTCTATTAACCGGGCGTAATTTCGTCTTTACATTATCCTCTTTATTTGTTCCTAAACGAATTTCTTTTAACATCTGGAGGTTTCTTTTCTAACTGGTCTATATCGTCAAGCGATAAATTTTTTTTACTAATAACAAAATATTATATTTTATCTTTCGAAGTATATAATCCCCCATGGCATCGAGATACTTGACACATTGTGCGATGCAAAGACTTTTTCCAAAGTCTACTATTGGAATGTTGTTCAGAGCATTCGATTTATTCTTCTGAATATCTTAGACTCTCTTTTTTTTTTTTTTACCAAGAAAGGGGTTTTGCAGATTAGCCACCAATTTTATTCGCTGAATCTGACCCCTTCTGATCTCATGCTGAGCTCAAAGCTGAGAAAGCATAGTTTTTAAGACGTC